ACCCGGCGTCCCAACGTCGAGACTGCGCGCCAGACCACCGCCATCTCTTCAAGCTCCGACTCATCCTCCTCCGACTCTTCTTCCGCCGCGCATCACTGCAGCTCACCCAGCTCCAACAGTCATCCTCGTCCGCCTCCGAGATCGGCTTGTCGCCCAGCTTCCCTTGGATCACCGAGCTGCTCAGGGCCTCAAGCTCGGCCTCCCTGGCCCGCTTCCGCAGCTTCTTGGCCTCTCTTGCATGTAATCGTTCCTGGCGTACCTGTTGCACTTTCTCTAATCGGGCCTCGGCAAGTCTGCGGTTGGTGAGGCTTTCTTGCTCCACGACGGACGTCCCCCGAGAAGGCTCTCTGTTACGAGCGAAGGAAGAAGAGGAGGGATCCAGGCTGGTCCGTCTTACGTTGTTGCCGAAGGCCGACAAGAGCAGTGGTCTGGGCTGGTATCGTGGTCGTGGGGGTGTTCCACTCGAGTCGACCGAGGTCGCCAGGGTCGACTGGGGACTCCCCGAAGAGGTCATTGATGGGTGGCTTTGCCACGAATCGTTCGCTGCCGAGCTCGCACCAGTCGGTCCACCGGTCCAGTCAATCGAGGGTCTTCTCATGTTCGTGGGAAGTACACTCAGAACGGTCCGCTCGATCGGTATGTGGGAGTGGAATCCGGCCTGATGACGCTAATGTAACCGGTGATATAATTAGCTTCATTAATTGTTTTTTGATAAGACAAGACACAAGAGGAACTTACTTGAGTTGATTCATTGGGAGGCGAGGAAGATAAACTGGATGAATCGGTGGAACTGCTGTCGATTAAAGAGGGCCTTCTCCTACAAGAATTAGTGGGTGGGTGTGAGTTTTGGTGATGAGTGGAGGGATGCAAGTAGTCGAGGATAGATTTAGGTTTGCGATCGAGACTTCTAGTTCGAAGACGCTGAGAGGAAGGTCTGGGAGGAATTTGAGGAAGGAGTTGTTGGTCTGATGGTCTGGGTTCAAGAGTGTGGTTACCAGGTTGGTGCTCGGGAGTGGCGAGGAGATTAGAATGGCTGGCCCTAGCCAAGCCCTCCTTCCATCTGTGTACGGAGAGTGATCTCGAGGAGCGATGGTTATCTCCGTTGGATGGGAAGCTTCTTGAGAGTCTCAGAGTCTTGGGACAGAAGCCGTTGTGTTCTTCGAGTCTCGTGTCCGTCTCGGCTAGGGTTTCGATCTGATCGTGGGGGTGATGGATGAGTGATGGCTGTTGGCTGTAGGCCGACTTGCCTGGATGCATGGTGGGTTTCTGATCAGGGGCGGTACTGGGGGATGACAGATATCGAAGTTTGAAGCTGAATCAATCGGGTTAAGATGATGCTGATGTGAGGGCGGAAGAGGGTTGTGTGGGGTGAGAGTGTTTTGAGTGTTGCTCTGGGTGTGTGAGTTGAGTTGGTGAGCTTCTACCGTCTGCAGGACAACGGGAGACTAGGATGCCGAGTAGTTATAATGGGATGTGGAGTGTTGGGTGGATACTCAGTGCCAAGCTGGCTACACAATGGCGGGTAATGTTCTTCTATCCATTAAGCCGTGGGTTTCAAGGATGTTTATGACTGAATATTTTTGTAGATGGCTGTCTTGATGAAGTCGGCTATAGTGTTGTAGCTTTCGATGGCGGATGTCTCTGAAGCTGTAGAGTACATATACAGTCTTTGGGTCTGAGTTTGGTGTGATCTCAATCAGTACATATCCAGTCGAGATCAACCGAGGGAGAGTATGTGGTCTCGGTTATGATCACCCTCGGCGGAATTCGATGATGAGATGCTCTGATAGTAAAGGGGAGAACTCGAACGGAACAAGTCGCCTTACATACTGCCAGACTTGCAATAGGAGCTGTAATACTATTTACTTTCGATCGAACCGAAGCTGATCATGACTCCGCTCGATGATCTTCCCGTCGAACCACCCTTCTGGTCTGTTTGAAGATCAGACTCACTTCCACCCTGACGTACAATCAATCTGTTTCAAGGATATCAACCTGCAGAGTGCCAAGATCAACCCACTTGGCATCATCATCACCAGGTTTCAGGTGTTTCAGAAAATTATAACTGTGCTAAAACAGAGAGATAATTAGGGATGATGTGGAAAGACTGTCCAAGCTGGCAATCAAATCGACTGGGAGCCCAAGTATTCAAAATGATGCACCTATCAATTCACTGGTTTCCTCTCAGAACTTGCTCATCTAGAACCACAAGCCTATTTTATTCTTAAACTTCCCAAGATAGATTTGGATTGGTGTGCAGCTTCCTATTGATGATCAAAACCAGGGTTGGATCAACTGCTTTGGTAGGCCAATCTGTGGAGATGTGCACTCAGGATCCAATATAGATACATACAGCAAAGTGAGACAACATCAACTCTCATCAACAATCCACCCACTAACTGTCTGGTTTGTGATTTTTTTGCACTAAAATAAACCATCTCATGAGACTTCAAAAGGCTTTTGAAAAAAAAAAAAAAAAAAAAAAAAAAAACTGGCCAAAAATTAAGATCTAGGGGGTGTAAATTGGATTCTGGGAAGGTTCTAGATTGCAACAGGAAGTGGAGGACATCTGGGACCCTTGCAGTTTGCGATTCAGACCCAAAAAGTCTGGATTTTTCACAGGGAAATCTAGCTTTTGCGGCTGTAAATCAAAACTGGGAGACCCACAGATGTTGACGGGAAGTCATCCAATCATCCACTGATCACCAAATCTGAATTAGGTGGCCGGCCTATATCCTTCTTAATTTTGGAAGATAGCCAGGTGAATGATTGGAATTTGGAGATTTGTAGAGCCACTTACAAGCTCTGTCTGGATTATCAAACAACATATTTTTTCAATTTAGGCCTTGTCAAGGAACTCAAAAGGGACTCTGAATGGTGACAAGAAGTCCTCCACTAGTGGGCATCAGATATCACATCATTATATGTATTGATATGACTGCAACAAGCCCTAGGATAGGGCCAAAGAATCTGGAGTGCACAGCTTTGCACTCCTGCAAATCTTGGAGTGCATACCCATGCACCCCAGTGTTTTTGATTCTCAGGTAATTTTTTCTAGGGGTGCAAATCCTACTCACTCCAAATTACTTGGAGTGCACAGAGCTTCACTCCAAAAGCTTGGAGTGTTTTCTTGGACCCCCAGACTGATATCACACAAGTCAAAGGACCTGTGTGATATCACTGGCTCATAGTGAATTCAAGAAAGCAAATTAAAATTCTCTCTGTCTGTCTGTTGACAAGGCTCTCATGGATTTCAAAAATTACAAACCAATCTATTTTTCTGTTGAGTACCATCAATCAAAAATACCACAAGATGTGTGTGATAGAAGCCTGGGGGTTGCACTCCAAATAATTTGAATTGAGCAGGATTTGCACCCCTAGATATTAATGAGGCTCCATTTAGCAGTCCATGTTATCATAAAATTTCATAGGAAAATCCTGCAAATCGTTTTGGGGGACCACATTTATTATCATAAGTGAAGATTGTGGTTGGCTGGTCACGCTATAGCACCAAAAATCCACTAAAATAAGCAGAGAATTTTCTAGCTTTGTGATAGTTAGTTTAAGGTTTATCAATCTTATTCTGATTATCCGGATTTACATATTTCTTCTTATGATATAATGGACTGCCAAACGGAGCCTGAGAAGTAGAAACACTGGAATGTGTATGCACTTCAAGATTTGCAGGAGTGTAAAGCTGTGTACTTCAGTTTCTTTGGAGTGCACAGCCATGCACTCCAAAACCATCAAGTTTCTCCCCTTTTGGTGTGCACTCCCAGAAACTTTGGGGTGTGTGGTAGTGCCCTCCAAGAATCCTTGGAATGCACACCTTTTTTGGTTTGTGTGAGGGATATCTTTGGTGTTCAAAATGGCAGACCCTCGGAAAATCTTTCCTTGATCCTGTAAACACATAGCTTAATTTAAGCCTCCCATCTAGTGCTCAAAAACACCAAGCCTCTTAAATATCTTCCTGGCAAAAGCTTATCATGGCCCCTGCTATTGCATCACATGAGTGTCAATCTTGTAACACAATTTTTTTCTTGATCAATCACAGAGGTAATTACAGTGGGTAGACAGTGACAAAAGTGGCTGGTTGTTTTGGATTCCAGAGCTCCAAAAACACATACTTGAAGTCATGAGACTTTGTCAAGTGGTCCAGAATAGGTCCCAAAAAATGAAAATGAAAAAAACAAAATAAAAAGAAAAGAACAAAGTTCCAATATTTGTGAAGAAAATAAAAAATAAACTTAATTTTTTTCAACATCTTTGATATTCATGTTGGGGGAGTGAGGGTGATGAGAAAAAGAAAGGATGATTGGGAACTGAGAAGAATGATTATACAAGAAAATTTTAGAAAAAAAAAGAAAATGGTTTCCAGAGGGCTTCAGACAGCTGTTGAGTGGGACATTCACCAGACCACATTGTGGTAAAGCACCAGAATCTACTGTTTGGACTGAAATATGGAAAATGAACCTTTTTTGGTGGCCCCACCCCCCTCAGAAGTACCCCCCTCAGAAGTCACAATCCTCCATCAACAGACCTTAATACATTGTAAATTTTTCAACCTTGTCCATAACTGCAAAGGTTTTCACACACACTGTAACTGCAGCCTCATTGTGGGCTTACACCATACTAGTATTACTATAGTGTGCAATGTCAAATCAATCAGCACTTAAAAAAAACCCTTTTTGGTTCCATTTTTTCATGGGCCTTAATAAGGGCGCGTACCATAGCCGACCGCGGGGTGCTGATTTCCATTTTTTTTGGCAGTAAACGTTTTTGACCAAAAACGCGTACCACAGGGGTCATATTTTTTGACAACCCAATTAATCGTTTTTTTGCGTTTGCTGCCGTTTGAGGAAACGGCCCCACCCCCGTTTGCAAAAACAGTACAGAGTGCCACTTCTGGTCTCCAAACCACCTATGGTATGTACGCTCTCCGAGATATGTATTGAGCTCAACCATCCGATGGATCCAATGATAACTCCCACCATTACCACCCCCACTGTTGCTTTCACCAGAAGACGAGGCCTCAAAAATTAAATGATGAACTATGTACTTTAACTTGTACTCATCGTACAACATCATCACTGATCTCGACTGGGAGATAAACATCGGATCAGCGATACGACTTTGTCAGGTCATCGTATCAGCAATACGACTTGATCAGGTCATCGTATCAGCGATACGACTTCGTTAGGTCATATCACATCCAACGAGTACATACAAACTTCAGAACTTGTTCTTATCAATTGTCACCGATTATAAAGAGATGAACGTTTGATTAAAAAGAATATATCGATTATTGATTAGAAAGAAGAGATCAATTATCGATTAGAAGGAAAAGATCGATGATCAATTAGAAAGAAAATAACAATTATGAGACAAGGATGAATCACGAAAACAGGATTGATTAGAAAAATTGATCAATCAGGAAAGGAACGGTGTGATGCCGATGAGGAGATGTTAAACATAGTTTCTGATCAGTCATCAGGAGGACATGTTGAATGTAGTTGAGCATATGTAATGCGACGAGGGATCGGGATGGAGACTGATGGAGATGAAGAACAGTT